ATGAATGAATGGAAACCTAGCCAGCAGGGTAAAGGTTAACAATTGAACTATCATTTATACCTGTTGGGAGAAGTACAATCAGTTTTCTCCAATAGAGTAACACTGAGGGTATCACCACCCTAGGACAGGCCTCATGGTTAGGAGTAGTTGACCAACATATGTGGATGCCACAGTTTTTTTGCATGCGATTTGGTTACCATTTGGTATTTTGTTTGTTTTGGGTGTTGTTCTATTTTGTTTGGTTTTGTTGTTGTATTGGTTTCTTGTTGGCTTTTTTGACAAAGAAGTTAAAGTTGGGTAGACAAGGGGTGGGGGAGGATATGGAAGGATTCAGGGTAGTGAAAGAATATGATCCAAATATATTTAAATTTAAAAGTTCTTTTGAATAATAAAAATGAAGAGAAAAAACCAGATGAGCGAAATCCTAGAAATGCAGGAGAGCAAAGTAAAAGTCGAGGTAAATGATGACTTGTCAAAGAAGGTTTTGGTGGATGATTTTATGAAAGTATGTATTATTTAATTATTACTATTGTCACAAAGCTTACTTCTCTAAGAGACTCCCCCTATAACTCATGTGACTTTTGATCATGCTTTTACCCCTTTTGTCAATATAAAATTATCAGAAAATCTGTCAAAATCATGTTAGCTATAAATTCTTTGTGGAAATGTGACCTGGTAATTTTTTCTTTCTTCTATTATATGGATAAGCAGCAAATTACACAAAATTCTACCATAAGATAGCATCCTGTAGTATATATCAACTGAATAAGGGAAAATGCGTTTCCTGAATAAAGTTACCTCCTGAACACAAATTATCCAGTTTTCAGCTTTATTAAAGCTTGGTTTGCTTAAAGATGCAGACTCCCCAGGCAGGTTTTGTGTGAACTGAAATGTGCATGGTGAAATGGGAAGCCTCATTTATAATGTAGACAGGCCTTGGGAGACAGCTGCCAGAGATACAAGTCAGTGTGGTGGGTGCACAACACAGTCTGTAGTGGTCCCTCCCTCGGTGCTCTGTGTGCCCTGTCAGCTGACAACAAATGTAGACCCCCCTCATGGTCCTCCATCGCGTAGGACAGAGACACCCACAGTTATGAACTCAGTGAGTTTTGCCATATTCTAAGTATGTGCCTGGACCTCTCACTCTTGGAAACAGCTCCAGTGTTTGAAGCCACTGACCTGGATAGCCACGTGTTATGCAGCTATAGATAACAAAAGCAGATATAAATGAGCATATCAGAACATCTCCTTTTTGGCTCCAAGCATTGATAAAACTTTTTGGTAAGTTTTGATTATTATTTAAATAAGTTTCATAAATTATGCCAATATATCTCACACTTAAATATAATCAAGTAAAACTTGAAGATGATAATTGAGCTTTAAATTTTCAAGTGAACTCCATCCTACATGGCTTATAGCACCAGGATAAACAGCCCCTCAGGAAAGCATGTCAAGTTTTACAAAATTATTTTGGATGGGTAAATTGTGCTGGTTTTATTAATAGCTTGAATTTCTTCAGGTGCTGTGACATTTACCTTTGTGTATCATATCTTTAGTTTTAGTTTCTTCACACCATGCTATTAAGCTTACTTAGGCATGGAAATTAATTTCAGACACTTACAGTTCTCATCACATATATAGTTTAAAGTGTTAGTAGATGGAGCAAGAGGTTAGGAACACTTGACACTTTTCAAGAGGACCTCAATTTGATTCCCTGCACCCACATCAGGCAGTGCACAACTATGTGTAATTCTATAATCAGGTTCCAGATCAGAATTCTCTGGCCTCTGTAAGTATCTGCACTCACATGTACAGAGGACACATACATATATATAATTTAAAAAATAATAACAGTAAATCTTTTAAATGTGTTATTAGAACACAGAAATAACATTTTCCAGACACAATGGGCAATTCTGCATATAAATTCAGAATAGTTGTGATAGCATATTGAAGACCTTAGCAATCTCAAGTTAGATAAAAATCCCAACATGGAAAGAGAGGTGGGTGTGAGGTCTCAACCCTAGCTAAGGTGCTCTTAGATGTTGATATTTGGTAAGAAATCTAGCACCAGTTTTCGTCAAGAGTATGACTCCTGGTTGGTTGACTATGTTCCAATGGAAGGCTAACACATCCAAGACTATAAAGACAGAACACTATACTTGATAGATTTAGAAAGAGAGAGAACAGAAAGTTAGGTGGGTAAGGAAGGGCAGGTGGACCTGGGAGGAGTAGAAGGGGTAGATATAATAAAATATACTATATAAAGTTCCCAAAGAATAAAAAATAAATAAACAAAAAGGATACTGTGAAAAGAAGTATTAGTAGAAAAAGGTTTGAGCACAGAAAGCCCATGGAACTGTGTGCTTCTTTGGGACTTCTTTTTGTAGTCTTCCTAAAGCCCATCTTAGCTAAATATTCCAAGGTGCAGCACCCAAGATAGAGAGAACTCTTAGGAAAAGTACTTGTGGATTCCAAGGATAACTTATCCAAAGGTTCCCTGCTTGATTTGAGGCTCAAAGTAGTCTCTACTCTTCTTCCTCCAAGAATGTCATAGGTGGGATTGGGATAGCTCAGTAGTTAAGAACGCATTCTGTTCTTCCAGAGTTTACTTCCCAGTACCCATGGGAAAATTTATAATTGCCTACAACTCCAGCCCTGGGGTATCACATGCCCTCTTCTGGCTTTTGTAGGCACCTGCACACATTTGGTGTACACACTGCTGGATAGGTATTTGTCAACTTGATACAAGCTAGAGTTATGAGATTAGAGGAAATCAGTTAAGAAAATGCCCAAATCAGATTGGCTTTTAAGCAAATGCATGGGGCATTTTCTTAATTGTTTGGTGTAGAAGGGCCTAGCCCACTGTAGGCCATGCCACCCTTGGGTAGATGGTTCTGGAGCATATAATAAAGCAAACTGGGAAAGACGTGAGGAACAAGCCAGTAATCAGTGTCTCTTTATGGTCTCTTCTGTTCCTGCTTCTAGACTTCTGCTTAAGTTCCTGGCCTGATTTCCCTTAATGATGGGCTGTGATCTGAGAGTTGTAAGATGTAATAAACCCTTTCCTGCTCAGGTTGATCTTGGTTATAATGTTTATCACAATAATAGAAACCAAGCTCTCTCTCTCTCTCTCTCTCTCTCTCTCTCTCTCTCTCTCTCTCTCTCTCTCTCTCACACACACACACACACACACACACACACACAGTAGTGAGAGAGAATATAAACTAAACAGAGAGCATTCTTTAAAACAAAAAAAAATCAAATATGCTGTTCTTAGAGTACATGTAAATTCCCTCCAGGGTGCCACCCAGATGAACCTGTACCGGATTCCTTGTCCAGCTTGAGTCTTTGAAGCTTCTGAAGTCTGTTTGAGGGTTTCTTTTACTCAAGGATGATTTGATTGTAAAAATGCTTTGTAATTTGATTTTTTTCCTGTTGTAGACTAATGTTTTTCTTCCTAAAGAGCTGTGCTTGCCTTTGCTGAGATAGGTGAAATCTGTACTGTGAAAACACACTGCCTGTATTCAAGGACAGCACCTAGCAACAGCTTCATGCTGGTGGCAGACATGCCCCCACATTGATACTGTATGAACTCATGTTGATAGAGGCCTTAAAGTAAAGACCGGGAGCAGTGTCTGTGTTAAATTTTCTATCTTGTGTATTCTGAGTATTTTATACTTCCAGAAATCATAAAATCCCTTTGTTTACAATGCAAATAGTGTTCTACAAAGTGACATAAAATTCACACTTTGTAACATTCTTTTTAAATGTGATCACACAGGCCTAGTATCTTAAATCATCTCTTCCATGCACAAAGTCTACATGTTTTCCTTCAGAAACTGTAAAGAATGAGGGAGATGGTTTATAAGACAGATACTCTGTCGAGCAGACCTTCAATACCCAGATTTTCAATTTCCTGTAAATACAAGTACCATCATAGATTAGCTGCTTCCAAGCTTGTTTATTACACAGCTGTGGTACAGGCTACCTCTAAATTTTTTTCTGGCACATTAAGATACAGCCTTCCTGTCTGGGTGCTTTTTATGGGACATTATAAATATCCAAGAGAACTATGTTATAAGCTGCATTGTAATTCCACAGGAGCTTTCATTTCATCTCTATAGATCCTCCAGTTTCCAGCATTTACTCATGTAGTACCGATGAGGTCTAGTAAGCTGTGCATTGAAGGTATTAAGTCAATATTAATCATTGAAGATCTTTATACTCAAACCTGTCTGGAAAACAAGAATGAACTTAGTCAACAAACTTGAGCAACATTCTCTGATGTTTTATGAAGTAAAAAATATTATTTCTTCTACAACTATTAAGATCACATTTTATTTTGAATTATGTGCATATGTGTATGCATGTGTGGAGGTATGAGTGCAGGTGCCTGTAGAGGCCAGAAGAGGGTGTCAGATCCCTCAGAGCTGTAGTTACTGTTGGAGTTGTAACTTACCTGACCTAGGCACTAGGAACTGATCCTCTACAAGAGCAGGCTGAATGCTTGACTGTCAAGCTTTCTCCCCAGGCCCCTAAAATATTCTTTTATAAAACCTATGTGGTATGTGTGTACATTTGTCCATACATTTGCACACAGGCATAGGTGTGTGTATGTGTGTGTGTGTGTGTGTGTGTGTGTGTGTGTGTGTGTGTGTGTGTGTGTAGGTCATAGGTGGATGAAGCTAGGTTTTTTTCCTCTCTATCAATGTTTACCTTATGTTTTGAGACAGGGTCTCTCTTTTTTTTTTTTTTTAGAATTTTTAAATTTATTTATTTAGATAAATTTATTTAAATTTTATTTCTTTCTTTCTTTTCTCTGTGTATGCTCAAGTCTTGGTGCGCACACGGAGGTCAGAGGACAGACAAGCTCCCGAAGTTAGTTCTCTTCCCACCATGTGGTTCCAGGGCCTGGACTCAGGTCACCTGGCCAGGTGGCGAGCACCGGCTTGATGGCCTGAAACGCTACTTTTTAACAAGACCGAATAAAAGTGTGGTTTGGGGAAACAATTTTCATCTTCATTGCGTGAGAGATTAAGAGCACAATAAATTAAAAGCTGTATGCTAAACCAAAAATTCCTTTATACAAAGTATCAAAATACAATCACATTTCTAAAATGAAACCATAGGTTTACAGTTGTAGTCCTAAGTAAGCTAAGTCAAAAGCTGTACGAGAAACATCAGTGGGGGCAAATGTATGAATGAAGACACTCCTGAATCCCCACTTTTCATCGAGCATCAAAGACCACCAATCTTTTAGTCCCCTTCTTGTACATTATTCTGTATCCACATTCTCTGCATCTGATTGGATCCCTGGACTTTATTTCATTTTCGGTGTGACACTCTCCACAAATATATATCATCGGCTGCTGCTTTGGGGGCTGAACGTCTTTCTGAGTGTCCATTGTTAGTGCCTCGGCAGCTCAGAGAAGCTTCTCTGTGCACGCAAAACCCTCCTTCTGGTCCTCAGAAGCAGAATCGCTTGAGACAGGGTCTCTTAGAGAACAATTTGGCAAAGGTTTTTAACCAGCAAATGCCAAAGATCTGCCTTTCTCTGCCTCCCCAACATCAAGATTGCAGGTGTGGCTACAATACCCTGCTTAAAATTGCTTTGTCTTACAAATCAGTTTTACCTTCCTATCTTTTTCTGTAACTCATCACTTTAGATTATCTGCTTTTAGGGTACCTATAAATTAGTGTTTCAGATGATAATTAAGCTTTTGAAAAAGGATCCTCTGTACAATTTAAATGAGGATTTTTTCTAGAGCCTAAAGAGGTACAGATAGTTTTATTTTGGAATGAACCCCTTGAGATGTTTTAGGTTGAACCAAACATAGTTGATTTCTTATTTGTACAATCTCAACACACAGGAAGATTATGAATTTGAGGCAGTCCTGGTGAGTTCAAGGTCAGGGTGAGTGACAAAGCAAGGCCTTGTTTTTTTTTAAATCATGTAGTTTGGCAATAATGAAATCAGAAATATCAATATGAATTTATAACTTTTGAAATATTTTCTTTGTAAGTGGATTTACAAGAGGTGTCATGTGTTTTTTCTCTTCAAATCACCATTAATTATATATGAATATTTTTATTTGTACTCAGATTTTGTTTGTCTTATTTTGACTTTAATCTAAGAAATTCAGATTTCATACAGTGGGGAACCCAGGATTAGCCACTGTAAGAGTCTAGCTCTGACCTGTTGAAGGGTTATTAAGGGGAGGAGAGAGGAATGAGGAAGTATTAGTTGGAAATAAAGGCAGAGGCAGCAAGAAAGGCAAAGACACAGGATAGCTTCTGGAGGGCCCTGGGTCAATACCCAGTCACCCAGAGTTTTATTCTAATGGGCTTTTTATACACTACCAAGGGGAGGGGCAAAAGACCTCCCCCTTTTGACATCAAAGCACACTGTACAGCCAAGTGTAGACCCTTCAAAACACCTGATAAGCATGCCCTTGGCCAAACCATCCCATTTTGCAGCCTTGCTGGGTAAGGCAAGCTCAGACTCTCTGACCTTGAGTAAGGTCTTACTAGGGAGCCTCTATGGGCCCCCACAAGCCAGTGTGCTCTCTCTTACTCTTTCCAGACAAAAATACTATTAGTAGAAACTGGGGGACATTCTTGAAGTCACAAAGGAGCCAGGGTGAAGAGTTTCCTATAGGTTAAGCTGCTATAATTTGAAATCCATGTAGAAAACAATAATTCCTAAAAGCCATAACTCTGAATAATATTCAGATTATGCAAATAGCAATGTTAAAGTGAAGGGACACTCATAAATTTCCAATAAATAATTGTTAAAAAGTTCTATATTTATGGGTGTGAATCAGGTGCATTCTACCTTCACGGTTTGCCAAGTCTATGAATGAATCACCCTGCAAAATGGCAGAGCTGTCTATGGCACCTCAGTATTTGGGGGTGAAAAAGCATACTGTTTACATAAGAAATTACTATTACCCCTTTCCCAGATGCTCATGTCCTTTCTTATTCACTGAGCCATTCACAGTATGGATTTCCCAGCAATACTTATTAGTTCCTGATCCTAAATGATGGGCTAATGGTGGTGGGAAGCAGGAGAATCCCCCTCATTCAGCTTTGATACCTTTAGGTCTTTGTTGTGATGCAGACTAATGTTCTCAAGTGTCAGCCTTTGATTTCATTGACTGAAACTCATTAGGAAACACACTTAGATCCAAGAGTGGAGCAGAATCCTATGATTGCCCACTGTGCTGAATGCCAGAGCAAAACTAGATTTTTCTTGGAGCAAGGAAGGTTGCATGGATGGCTGATAGCTAACCAGCTGTGGGCATTGTAGACTGTAAACTATTGTAACCCAGGTTTGGAGTAGTAAGGCCCTGGAGAGCCAAGGTAAAGAATCTTATGCTCTGATAAAAGTAAAAGAAATAAACTGAAAATGTTACTGAAGACAAAGCAGTAATTCCATACAACAATGACCTGAGAATAATATAGGAAGTATTTGAAGAAAGGATACAAGCTGGAAGGAGAAGCCCTGTGAAGGCATTAACCATACACTGGCCATTTCCCAACAACTTGAGAGGTTCTGGTTATGCAGCTGTAATTGGTGGTCTGTTTTATGCTGACAAGACTTCATTGGAGAATGTTAATTCTATCCTCCATGAAAATGAGATGAGCCCATAGGCATCATGATAGGTTGAACATGATGCATATATGAGCTAAACACATTTGGTTAATTTATGATCATATTAATGACTAAAAAACCCTTATGATTTATATATATTATTTTATATGTAGTATTTTTAATACCAAACAAAATACAGAGTTGTAGAAGCCAGTCTCAATGGATACATCTAAAAGATACTCCACCACCTAAGGCTCAAGGAACATTTCAGAATAGAGAGAGAAAAAAATTGTTAGAGCCAAAGGAACAGGGAGTTTGATGTAAATTTGTGTCTCTTAGTAACTAATATCAGAAGCTATACTACATAAGCAGGACAAGAATGATACCAATGGACATGCCAAACTGGATGGGAAAAAGCTCTGTGGTAGCAGGTACCATGGACACCAACTGAGATGCTGGCTGGTGTAGGGCCATGGACCCAACCATGGCCCTCAGCTGAAGCTTGGGCCCAAACCTCACTATGGCCCTAGGTGACAACACAGGCCACCAAGATCAGTATGCCCCCTAAGGCAGCATGTTGACTACTTGTCAGTGGCCATGTCAGAGGAACAGCAGATGGCAATTGAGCTTCTGAAGATCTGCCCACCAGGAAAGCAAAGCACTGACAGGTGAATCTCAGACAGGTAAGGCCACAAGGGCTTCAGCTCCAGAATGTGTCTTGCTACAGCTGTACCTTTACATGTTTGCCACTGCCATCTTCCTCTGGTTTTTGGCCTGGTGTGAATGGGCATGGGGGGAATCCCCAGTGCTTTTAATATAGTGTGATTATCTCATGGAAATATCCAGTTTTTACCTGTGGATTATTATGAAGATGATTTCCTCTTAAGCTGTACTGCTTAGGTAATAATTTTATACAATGAAAGTATTTAAATAGAATTTTGATGATTAATGGTTTTTTAAATAAATATAGTAAGGGATTATAATAGAGGTTAGTTTAGTGAGAAAATTAACATAGGTAAAAGTGGGATATAATATTGTCCCTACCCCTGATAAAGCCTGGGCTGCAGAGAATAGAAAATAAGAACAAGGAAGGGTCACACAAGTAGGATTTATGAATTTTTCTTGAGGAGCTATGTAGACCATAGCTTATATTAATGATTAAGAAAAGCAATTGTGTCCCAGAAGCTAGGTTAGCTCAAGTTCTTTTAATCTTAACATTGGGAGTTGTGTTCACAGGTTTCAGTGTGCATCATAGCTAAAACAAAGCTTTAAAAAATGACTTAAGGTTAGGTTAAGATGTTTTTATTAATGGCTTTGAGGTAGAAAATCTTGGGGAACAATTTAAAGTTTAGAAAGTCACATCATTGGGTGAGAGACTTGTTGAAGTCAAGAAACAAGAACAAAGACAGTCTGGTTACGCCTTTATTGCTAGGATGGGCTGATGATCAAAGGTGATGATTGATTCCTTGTACTCGTTTCTGCCCTCAGCTTCCTGATATAAAAACTGTTAGTGAGTGGGTATGCATCCTGAGGATTTAAAGTAGAGCTGATTTTTTTTTCATATCTAGGAGTTTAGATTTGTGATTCCTTTAAGATTTTTTAAAATAAGATTACCTTTGGGATAAATAATAAAGTGATTGATCCTTTCTTTGTTACTACAAAATGTAGCCTGCCAGTAAAAGAATGTGCTGAAAAAAATACCTTGCTTGGTTACACTCTGTTAATCTATAACAAGTTGCTTGGACATGAATGTGCGTGGGTTCTTGGGGATAATTTGTTTTTCACCTGTAATATGTAAAATGTTTAATCATGTAAGGGATATGGAGAACATGACTTTTTTTTTTTTTTTACTTTTATTCACTGTAATAATTCACTTAAATAATAGAATGTAACCACATTGTAATTTTTATACTGCTTGAAAGATTTTGTTGGGGTATGTAAGATTTTAGAAAAAAAATAATACACAGAAAGGATACATCTGGATAGAGGTAAGAAAAGAAATAAAGAGATGAGAGAGAGATATGATAGAAAGACCCCAAAGGTGTGTGTGTGTGTGTGTGTGTGTGTGTGTGTGTGTGTGTGTGTATGTATTTCCCATTTTCGTCAGCTCCAGAGAATTAAGTTTTACTCTCTTAGATAGAAAAGTCAAGTTGAATGATTAGTTTGCTGACTCCATGCCTCCCCCTCAATTCCTGAGCTGCTGAAGGTGGGATCTCACAACAGCAACTGCTTTTCTTAATTTGAGTAATATTTAAACTACTTACTGGATTTCTCTCTCTCTTGAGGAAAGACTCTTTCTCAGAAAGACTGCTGTGCAGCCCAGGAGGCACTCAAACTTTTAGACTCACTGTGTCATCCTAGCTGGCTTCAATTTGTGATCCCACTACCTCAGCTTCTGAGTGCTGGCATTCCAAGAATGTGCTACCAGACCTGGCTGATCATACTTACTTAGATTTAGCAACTAAATTTAAAATGCTTACAAACTTTGAGGAGATATAGAACTATGCATAGAACTGTACAATAAAGCTGGTAATGAAAGAAAAGGCAAAATAAGTATTTAAAAATTTTAATCCCCATATTACTAGATATATAAATAAAATAACAATATTTTAAAGTTAAGCTTAAGAGACTTAGAGAGGATGTCATTTTTAAACTGAAGATAAGATAGCATATTTAAATTTTTAATTGAAAGCAAATACAGTGATTATAAAGATTATGAGGGTTACATCTTAGAATGAGCTTTGGCATGCTATGAGCAAAAAAGAAAATGTGAGCTACTGCCAGTTAATGTGTAGTTGGTTGTTTTTTTTTTTTTCACTCGTTGCTTTATGTTCTTTTGAGGGGGCCTCCCATCTAGCTCCCAAATAAATCACTTGGAGTC